AGTGTCACACAAGCCAATATTTCCAGTCCAGGGTACACACTAGGTCTTTCATCCCTCAGATGTGTTCCTGTAGTGGGTCTGGTTTAACAAAGCCAGGTGACATCCTAACAATATGTTTCTGGATACCTTAACTGCCCGGATAAGGCACCCAAAATCTACAAAGATTGCTCAGAATGCAAAAAGTCAAAGCACAGCTTCAGTGAAGGGACTCTCCACTGTATGGGAGCAGCAGTCACAAGTTCTGTGCACACAGGTTGTCTCACAGTAATGCCCACAACCTGGTAAGAGAAACTTTGCATTTCTCATTTCAAAGGTAAGGAAGTCAGGGCAAGAAGGGTTCTGAACTCTGCCCAAGATGTGGTTGTGGAATGTGGTAAAGTTGAGGTTCACAGGCAGGTTGGCCAGACTCCAGAGTCACACAGGGAATCAACACAAAAGACTTCTGGCCCAATGAGACCAATTCCAGTGATGGGTGCAGAATAATGGTAGCACTAGAGGATTTGCTGACATGATGCCACTGCCAGAGTATGCCTGCAGGTCATCTCACTGAGAACTCATAACAACTCTAGGAGGTCACATTGTTATCACTCCCTTTTTATAGCTAGGGAAACAACTTAGGCTCACAGAAGGGAAGTGATTTGCCCTAGGCATAGATCCGAACACAGGTAGGTGAGCCCTGGAGCCTCCTTTTCCTTGCTAATTCTCCTTACCTGCTCCTTTAGTAACTTTCTGTGCCAGCTCCTGCTTCAGCACTCTAATGAGAAAAGACAGTACAAGACTGAAGCTAACTCTTCCTTTCACGTCCTCAGCCTCTCAGTGAAAGGTAACACTGCTGATGACCCACTCCTTTCATTCTTTCTCATATGTGCTTCATCAATGTTTTGTTTTGACTGTGGTACTGGCAACTGAACCTAGGACTTTGTGCATGCTAAGCAAGAGCTCTATCTATCACTGAGCTACATCTCCACTCACTCTTCTTTTCTAGTGCTTGCCCTACGTTTTTCATCTTGTTGGTGGCCTCTTGCTCCTCCCATTTCTAAACATATTTATCTCAAAACTCTGCCTTAAAAAGCTAGGTGTGATGGTACACTCCTGGAGCCCTAATACTCTCATGACATAGACACTACTACCATAGGAACAGAGGACAAACAAACTTCAGGGCCCCTAACTGTTACTCATTAAAAGCATGCTTTGTGTTTTCTTCTGAGGCAATCAGAGCCTTAAAGTGGGTTTTAAACTATAATTCTCCCTTTGAGGCTACAGATAGGTTACAATGAGCAACTAAAAGTAGAACAAAGCTTGACCTTCATTTTGTATCCTTTATTACTTAAAACTTTGGATATATGTATGGTAATCATTTAGAAAAAGTTGGCAAAACACTGTTTACTAGCCCTAAATTTATCTAGCCTATCTCATCCTCCTTCAAGACTGAGGACACCAAGATAAGAGCAACTAATGTAATTCTCAGGATTTACAGGGACATCATTTACAGGGACTTGTCAGCTTTTACACTGCCCAGTTCCAGACCCCCTCCCTGGAGTGATGGCTAGAAATCTCCAGCCATTGTCCTAAACCTGTAGTCACCTGGCTCCCAGGAAAAGCAAAGTTTCACATGACTGAGACTATTGCAAACAAAGAATCATTTCATGGGAAGAGCATGGCCCCTTAAGCCATGCGGATTCCTCCAAACCTACAAAATTAGGAATAATAATCAACCAGAGCCCAGACCAATACAGTATCCCTAAAATTGACCTCTATTCTTTCATGAATGGGCTAATCTGATCCACTACTTCATATTTATGCTCCTTTTAGTCCTCAAACTTAGTCCTTTTCCCTATCTTCTCTTACTTTTCATTATTAAGAGACCAGCTTGATCTTTGTCAGAGCTGTGCTGTTTTACTTTCTCTTACTTTCCAATTAAAGCTTTTGCCTGTAAATTCAAATTGCTGCTTTAGTTTTAATTTCCATTATCAATAAAGCAAGTGCCCACACTAGCCAGTGACAGTACCAACAACTTAGGAGGCTGATGCAACAGGATTGCTTAAGCCCAAAAGTTTGAAGCCAGCCTAGGCAACACAGTGAGACTCCATCTCAAAAGAAACACAAACCTCTGTAGTTAGCCCTTTGCCATGCCTGTCACCACAGAAACCAGAAAGGGAATGGTTTCTCTTCCTGCCACCCTACCCTTCCTCTGCTATAGCTGATCCACAACCCTTTACAGGTCATAGGCCTCCAATCTCCATCATTTTGTTCACTTATATCCACCTAGAATCCCTTCAATTCCCTATTACAGAAATCTATTTCTCAAGGCAGCAGAGTACTAATTCAGAGCACAGGTTCTGAGCCAGAGTGCCTCAATTTGAATCCTGGCTCTGACATCTAGTAGCTACTGAATTTGAAACAAGTTCTGTGCCTCACTCTCCCTATCTGTAAAATGGGGATAGGAGCAGCATCTATCTCTCAGGGTTATTGTGAAAATCAGCTCATGTCTGGAAAGGATCCAGATTGGTGCCTGATATTTTTAGCAAGAGTCAGAGAAAGATTTATCTTAATCTAAGACAGTATCTCACCTAAGGGCTCCTGAGGTGCCCAGGATGGGCTTGTCCCATTTAACTTCCTAATGAGCCTCATGCTTGCTCAGCAAGCACTCTATGACTGAGCCACATCCTCAGCCTAAAATAGATGCATTTCCATGGAAAGGGAGTACATAGCTTTCAAAAGGGTACATGACCCAGAAAATGTTAATCCACAAACCTTATTGTACAGGCACCGGGAGCATTATTGTAGAGAGAAAACTATTTTTAATTGGTCCATATTTCATTAACCACTCTAATAATCCCTTATTCACATAATTGGCTGGGTCAACAGCCAACAGGGACACACAGGCTATAAAGAGACTCACACCAGAGATAAGGTACTAGGGTAAGAGATAAGTGCTAAGCAAGTTTTCCTGAATTATGGTCCTGAGAATTCAAAAGGCCATAAATAACCACAAAAAGAAATGCAGAGTGAGGGCCGGGAATTTAGCTCAGTGGCACTGTGCTTCCCTGCCAAGCTCAAAGTCCTGAGTTTGATTGCCACTACCCCGCCACCAAAAGAAAACAAGAAAGAAAGAAATGCAGAGAGAAGAAGGGGCAGAAGGGAAGAGGAGGATGGAAGTAATAGGCACCAGCTGAGACGGAGTGCTCGGGAGAGACTGTGAAGCCAGATCCCAGGCCATAGGAGATGGGGGGAGGGACTCTTGAGAGTTAGGAATAAAAGCACACAGCTTCTCAACTCTGGTGTGCCTCTCCATGTGTATGTGCACCACTCTTGCAAAAGTATGGATTGAAGCCTTGCTTTCATGCCTCAGGAATCCAATTTTTGGGGGGTCTGCACAAGTAAATTAATTTCTCACAATAAGTAACCTATCCAAAACCACAAAAGCTGCCAATTACACAGGGAAACCTGCTCTAAATGTAGTATAGGAATGTTTTTTGAGCAAGCAGCATATTTTATGATGGTGGCATGATGAGGTCTGTAAACTTTAGATAACTTTCAAAATGCTTGTTGGGTGAGGTGGCACATGCCTATAATCCTAGCACTCAGAAAGCTGAAGCAGAAGGACCACTACAAGTCCGAGGCCAGCCTAGGCAACAGAGAGAGTTCAAGGCCAGCCTGAACTATATAACAAGAATTTGTCTCAAAAACAAAAAGAAAAAAAAAGCCTACCAATGGACCAGATAACAATAAATGTAATCTAATCAATGATATTTCTGTGTACAAAGCTGTAAGACAAAGATCACCAAATCTAAGCAGGAAGGAGCCTCAGAGAACACATGACTCGACTTCCCAGTGATTCTCTCCAGGTTCTCAAAGTCACTAAGAAGTAAACAGCTGCATTAGGACCAAAAGCCAGGCTTCCTGCTCCAAATCCAGGGGGTCTTTTACTCAACAAAGTAGAGACACCGCATTCTGAAAGGTCCAAAATAGTTTATCTTTCTCTTAAAAAAATAAAAAGTGCAAAATATTTTTTTAAAAAGCCACTTCTGGAAATCAGTTTCTCCCAGAAAGTCCAAGGGGTAACTACAAAGCAAATGCAGGAACCCATGAACCCGGTGCTCTTTGTTAAGCAACAAAATCAAATATTTATTTCCTCCCCCATAATGTAACCATTAACTTTTGTTAAAAATACAATACTTATTCTATTCATATAAAAGCTTGGATACTGGTTGAGTGTTTCTGAGCTGTCACTGATAACCATCATACCTACACTGACCCTGCATGGAGAGGCTCAAGCACTCATGCACCGTAATACATGCAAGACCACGAGTCCAGCCTTGGCCCTTGTGACCCTAAAACTCAAGTGCTCCCAGAAACTTCATTCATCATTGCTTCCCAAAAGTCCAAAGTAGCCCCAGCAGGCATTTTTGTATGCGCTTATTAAACTCTAAATGACCATCTCTAAATACACATGAACATTCCCAGAAGTATGGCTCATAGAAAGAATTCTGGTGTTCAAAGATCCTGGAACTCACTGATTGTTACCCCCAGTAATTCTTACTATTTGCCCAACACTTGCTTCTTCATGGAGTCTGCCTAGCCGATCTCCCTTCAACGGGGCCTGAGAGTACCACGGGCTTTCATGTCCTTCACCTTCCTTGTCACTAGCTCTCTCCAAGTAATGCTTGCAAGTGGAGGGAGTAGTGAGTTCCCTGCCCAGATGGCCAGGACACAGACAGAGAGAGAGAATGATACCTACTGGGCTGTCAGAGAGTTGGTGGTTGCAGAACCAGCTACATGTACAAAACCACTGTGGTCTCAAAACAGCATTATTCTTTTTTTGGCGGGGGCGGGGGCAGGGATCAAACTTGGACCTTGCGCTTGCAAAGCAGGCGGCGGCAGAACCACTGAGCTAAATCCCCAGCCAAAACAGCATTATTCTAAGGAATCTGCTATGCATCACTCAAAATGAGTGCAGTATCTGGAGTGTTTAAAACATACAATTAATGAATACTCACCACAGCTATGACAGGAATAAGCACTCCCAAGTTTCCTGCACTGCTAGAAGCCTAGAAAAGTACAGAATTGATGTCACTGATGAGCATATGGTTATTGGGGGGGGGTGTGTGTGTGCTGGTTTTAGTTTCTTGAGACAGGGTCTCGCTATTTAGCTCAGGCTGGCCTTGAACTCACAGCTATCATCCTACCTCAGCCTATGTGTTTCTTTTTTTTTTTAAGTGTTACATTAATCTGGAATTCCCTAATCTACTAATTTAAAAGAAATGAGAGATATATACATAAAGAGAAATATGAAGATGCCCATCCAGTATATTTTCCAGTATATGTTCCCCTTTTTTTTTTTTTTGCTGAGAATCGAACCCAGGATTTCATCCATACTAGACAAATGCTCTACCACTGAGCTACACCCCCAGCCCTAGCATAATGCTAATAACAAAAACTAGAATCAACTTAAATGTTAAATATAAATCATTGATTATATAGTATTTCGGCATATGACACAGCCATGACGAAGACAGTTTTCTAAAAAACAATCACCTTGAAAAAGTGCCCAGAGCAAATAATAAATCAGGATTTAAGAGTACGCTATGATTCAAACTCAATTAGATAATATACATATGCATAAAGAGCTAAGGAGGAAATGTGTCCAGATGCATGAATGGTTTTATCTGAATAAAGAGATTATAGGTACTTTTTATTATTTATAGGTTGTAGCAGTTCTGTACAAATAAACCTAAGTTCACTCCAAGTTAGCAGAAAGTTGGGTGTTACTTAAAAATAACCAAGTAACTGGCTAGACACAAAAATGTTGCTGAACTACAACAGACACTGATTTGTGAAGGTTCTGGAAGCAGGCGTAAGCACGTTCAGTTTAGTTTCTGTATTTATAATAGTGGCCACAACTGAGGGTACTGGGTCCAGGCCCTGTGCATTAACTGCCAGTGAGGAGACTCACAGAGTAGCTTGCCAAAGCTCATAGCCATTTAGTGGCAGGGGCAGAATTCTATGTTCGATTTCCTGGGCTGGAGCCCATGAATGATGGCTCTGCTCACTCTACTCTGGGAAACAATGGCCTGAGGGCTGCATGATGAAGGGAAACAACCCAGGTGTCATAGTTTATTATCACAGCTCCTTGTCTTCAACAGGGTGGTTGAGCCAGCAACCCATCACTGCTGCTCCAGGCTCCCCTTACTCCAAAAGGTCCTAGCTCTGTGAGGTCCTAGCTCTGCAAGGAAACCCCAGCAGCTCCTCAATAAACACTTGCTTAAATAGAAACTACCCTCCAAAGAATAGAAGTCATGGCTTTGTACCCAGTTAATAGAAAAGGAGATCCTTGAGTTGCCTTCACGGCCTTACCCCCAGCCTGTGAAAGAAACACTAAATCTTAAGAGTCTTGGGATAGTAAAGAAAGATATAGCAAGAGGGGGAAGATGGGAGCAGCCTCGGGTCCCAGGAGACAACTCCTGGTACACTGGGGCCCAATTTCAATGGGAGGAAAGGCTATAGACTCCATCTTCTTGAGAGCTTAGTACATCACTGTATCACTGGCACATCCCTTTCACCCTGATGCCTAAGGCCTGCTGTAAATGGGATACTTTCTATCTTGTGCACTAGAATGGCTCCATCTTGAAAGACTTCAGAAATTTATCACCAAATCACTGTTGGTGGGCCCAGCAGAACAAGGCTGTACTAGGGCCAAGGGGCTTGGGATCCCTTTTTACATGTATAACTTCCTCTTGACCAAGACTTTTCCATGGAGGGTTCCTTCATGCAGCTGTCAACTCCTAAAAGGGACATTCTTAAGCAGCCTAGTCTAAAGTATCCCTCCCCATACTTCCCTGTTCTATTTTCCCATGAAGCCCACAAGCAGGGACCCTGGCTGTCTAATGCACACTTCTGTAACCCCTTTACCTGGAAGAAGGATGGAACTGCAGCCTTGGGTCAAATTCCAACCACTACTTGTTCCTATCAATAGTTTCAAAGCACAGCCACACCTGTTCATTCACATGTTGGCTATAGCTGCTTTTAGCTACCACACTCAAGCTGAGTTGTTGCAACAGAGACAGTTTTAGGACTACAGAGCCTAAATCCAACCCTGTACAGAAAAGGTGGGCTGATCTGAGCTACAACAATACCTCATACATGGTTAAGTATCTAGTAACTATCTGGGAAAGGGGAATAAGAAGAAACAACATAGGAGGATGAAAGTGGAGATCTGGTAAAGGGCCTGGTTCCCATATTGGAGTCTTAACCCACTCACCCTACATAGAAAACATGATGTTTTATATGTCTTTAAGGATTTGCCTTTCTTGGACAGTCTGTGAGACTGGGTCAAATCTGGTCATTTTCATGTCACTATTTTCCAATTATAAGCTTTTAAAAGTCTTACTAGGCCTAGTCACAGGCCTTGTTCTCACCTCCCAGCTTCCTGAGGATGAGAGATAGAAAAGGGAGTCCAGGAGGGAGCCCATGCTAGGGTACTGTTATGCTTGTCACCTAGGTTAGGGGAGGTAGCAGCCATGAGCAAAACGCAACCTAGTAAGGAAGCTGTCCATCCTGAAAATAGAATCCACTCCCTTTTTTCTTGCAGTCTCCAGATGCATTTAAATCACTAACAAAGAAAGTGTCGAAGGGGCTTGAAGGGGGGAAATGGGATAAAATTTATTAAAAATTAAAATTTTTTAAAACTACAAAAAAAGAGAAAGTGTCACATTTCAACCAAGACAGTGCCTCAGATCTTCAGCTCTGGTCAGCAGGGAAAGAGGTGCTAAGAGAGGTGGGGCCCATTGCCTCCTCCTTCCTACCTTCAGGGCAGGCCCCTTTTCACTCGCCCTCTCGCTGGCTCGCTTCCCCTCCAGCCCCAGCTGCACAAACAACTCCAGCAGGTTCATGAGCAGCTCGTCCACAAGATGTTCCTCCTGGATGTTCGCTGCAATGTTGGCCAGGGCATTAATCACTGCCAGGGAGCAATGCCTGATGAGGAAGGAGCAAAGTAATAAGCACTGCCAGGCTCTCAATAGTGTCCAGAGGAAGGTGCTGCGGGGATGAAGCAAGCAGACTCTGAATGTCCCAGCTGCCTTATCACACTGCTCTCAGTGCTGCCTGTGAACCAAAGAACCCTCAAGGGTGATGAACATGTTATCTACATGACAAATGGCCCCTAAAAGAAAGTGAACTGTTATAAAAATGACTGCAGGCCAGGGATTTAGCTCAGTGGTTCTGCCACCTGCCTTGTCAGCGCAAGGACCTGAGTTCGATCCCTGGTACCAAAAACAAAACAAAACAAAAAAAATGACTGCAGTCCTCTCTCAAGAGGTGCAGTGAGGGCTTCTAGAAGTCTCAGTTCCAGGAATCTGTACATCAGGGACCCGTGAAGGGCTCAAGACATTTTCCTCTGAATGTCAAGGGTCTACTGCACAGCTGAACATAGAAATACTCATTCCCAGGCATTTTCTTCTTGGGCCTTACTTTACCCCTCAAATCAAGGAGCGCCTTAAATCACCATTTATAACCCATTAACATTTCACCTGATGATCAGCTTCTCTACAGTCCCCCAACCAGGTAAAGTTAATATTAACTCACATATGGGGCCAGGGATTTAGCTCAGTGGTTCCACCGCCTGCCTTGCAAGTGTAAGGTCCCGAGTTTGATCCCCGGTACAAAAAAAAAAAATTTAACTCACGGAGACACTTGGGAAGTGCTCCTGAGTCCTGGGACCAACTGCCTCAGGATTAAAGCCAACCCCTCGTAAACCCCAGAAATGAAACTGGCATTGTGCCTGCTGCAGGCAGATACTGTGAACCAGCAAGGGTTACTAAGCTTCTGAGGCTCTGGAGGTAGCCAAACTCTGTCACTTCCATGTTGCATAACCTTGAATGAGTTGCTTAGTCTTTGACCCTTAGTTTCTTCCTATGAAAAACAAGGAGAGTAATTCCCTCTCCATAGACAGGAGCAATTTTAAATAGCATATGAAGCACACAGCACACTGCCTAATCCCTGAAATCATAGAGAAAATGATACCCTTAACAAAAGGCACTCACTTCCCAGTTAGGTACACACCTGGTAGGTCAGGGGCAAACAAAGGTCAGCAAATGCTTCCACTGGTGAGGAGGACAATCATTTTTGATGGCAATAAGAGACGGGCTTTATGGAAGAAGAGACAATTTGAGCCAGAAGTTGAAGAACTAGTAGGATGGAGACTAGAAGGTACTATACATAGCAAAGGTAAAGAGCAGCAAGATAACTTGAGGGTCACAGAAGGAAGGACAAAGAGTAGGAGGTACCAGGGCAAGGATGCCCATCAAACAACTTACAGAGCAAGGAAGCAATGTGGGGTGTTTTGGCCTGAGTGTCAGTTCTATGGCAGAAATTAGGACAGATGGAAGGAAGGGGAGGTGAGCTTGGCCAGGTCCCCAAACCAGTCCTTACCCTGCTGAAACAGACTGGGCTCACAACAGTGGCAGTGAGAAGGCAATGAAGTGTAATCATTCCCTACTATCCACAGGGCACTGGTTCCAAGACCCCCATGGATACTAAAATCTGAGGATGCCCAGGTCCCTTATAGAAATTAGTATAGTATTTCCATATAGCTTAGGCATATTCCCCTGGATGCTTTAAATCATCTTTAGATTACCTATAATACCTACTACAGTGGACATGCTATGCAAATACTTGTTATGCTATATTCTTTTTTCACTTTTCCTCACACGTTAAATATGAGGGGGTTTTTTTGTTTTGTTTTGTGGTACCGAGGATCAAACTCAGGACCTTGTGCTTGCGAGGAAGGCTCAATGCCACTGAGCTAAATCCCCAGCCCTGTTATGCTGTATTCTCTAGGGAATAATGACAAGAAAAAGTCTGTACATGTTCAATACAGGTGGAGCAGTTTTCTCCTGGAATATTGTCTTCTGTGGGTGGCCACCAAACTGACTTGGAGAGAATCTCAGAGAAAGGCCTGGATTTAACAGTCAAGGAAGGAAAGCGGAGAACAATAACAGCAACAAAGGGGCTCTCTTCTTCCCTCTACTAACTTTCTGCTTTCCTTTCCTCCCTGTCTTCTGATCCACTGACCTGACAAATGCTTGTGAGATCCTCTAAACATGGAGATGTGTCCCTTGCTCTAGGCATTTCCAGGCAAGGACAAAGAAAAGAGAAACATCTCTCAGCTGCCAGGAAAAACTGGCTAGACTTCATCAAATATAAAATGTTAAGGATATAAAAAACTTATTCCTTTAGACCCTCCAAATCCTACTTCTCTGAACATAAGCTAAGCAAAGCATCAAAGACTCTTTCAGATACATAGCCATTAGGTTGTTCAATGCAGGAAAATTGGAAAACCACCTAACATCCAAGCTTGGGGCTGGTTAGATAAATCTTGGTAGAGCTATACAATGAGATACTATGTAGCCTTTAGAGGTGTCCCACAGGGGAACACTCATGGCACAGCTGATATGTCACTCCACAGAGGCAAGTCTCCTAGGTGTACAGTATGAGCCTGTTTAGAAAGGGAAGGGCCGGGATGGGGCCACATGCACAGAGATACTCAGTGGTTAGCTCCTTGAAGTAACCGTATGTGGGTTTTTATTTCCCACCTTGTGTGTACACTGATTTGTAAAGCATATAGTGTTTTTATAAAAAGGAAAGCTTAGTTCAAAGACAAATTCCCAAAGGAAGTTAAATACTGTCAGGATCCAAAATGACAATGAGATACAAAAGAATTACCTGTAGCCATGGTCTTTGTAATCTTTGGTGGCTGAATACACAACCGAGCTGGCCTTCACACTTATCTGCTGGAAGAGATTCCACACTTCCTGATAAATGTATTGCTGGAAGAGAGCAAGAAGCACTGTCACTATATCATGACTCCTTCACTTAGCTTCTAGAACACAGAGAAGGCTCCTCTTGTCATCACTCAGAGGGAAAGCTCTGGAATCCTGAGCCATCAAAGACCACCAAAGGCCTTCATTTCGAAAGGTTTAAACAAACCTCAAATTAAAAGCTAAAAGGGAAGCACTTCAATTCAACTTCTATTTATGTCATTTACATTGACAAGACATTAGTTTGAACTTGCTTTACTGAAGCATTCATGGAACTATTACACTATTCTCACTATTAAGTATTGAAATAGTTGAAAGCATTTAGCTCAGCTGCAAGATAAATTTACTCTGTAATTATACATTCCTTAGGAGGTTAAGGAGGCTTGCACAGGGTTTTATGGCTCTGGCCTCAATTTAGGGCCCTTTCTTACATTTCCAGTGATAACCAGACAGCCCAGCTGGTCGACGATGAGCACATCAAGGGTTGAGGGGGGCTGACAGAACTTCTGCTGCAGGATCTGCAGAATTGGCTCCATGACTTTTGGAGTGTCCCTCAGAGCCACTGCAATGTGTCCCAAGGCACGGATGGTGTGGTCAGGAATCAAGTGTGCATCCCTATAGGAGGGAAGAACAGAAGCACCTTAGGAATAGTCCTCTGGCATGCAGCAGTGAAATAAAACCCAGAGGCAATGATCTAGACCTCAATTTCACCATAGTCTTGATGAAACACTCATCTAAAAATGACACCCTGGGACCTTTAACCAGCAAAACCCACAATGCCCAGGCACTATGCTGGAGGATGAAGATCTTTCTCTACTCTTATGCAGTGGTTCAAGGTGTAGATTCTGAGGTAAGCCACACCTTAAACCTATGACAAATCCAGTAGATGCCTATGCTGTGTGACCAGGAAAGAGGCTCAGACAAGCAAAATGTCAGTTGTCCCACTTTCGCCTGCAGGCTGCCCCGAGGGATGGAAACATACTTGTCACTCTCCTGGGAGATGTAGAGCCGGTTGGACAGGCTGGCCAGGAAGGCCTCCACAATCACTGGATCTACCGTCAGGCCAGCCTTCAGGCACCTGAGCAGTGAGAAAACTCACGTTAACATTAGGCAACAGAACAGTGAGATGGGGCTTTTCAGTTTTCTTTTTCTTTTTCTCAGGCCAACAACACTGAGAAAATGATTCTGAAATTTCTACCTCAAAAATCTGATGAAAAAGCATTAAACAATGCAAAGAACTGCTGCAGATTTTGCCACTTAATATCTCAGCCAGAAACAATAACTTCATAACATAATTTTGCTCAAAACAGTTTTCTTCAGAGTTATTGCACTTGCTCAATTCCAATTTTAAACTTCTTGTATTGTTCTTTAACAAAGTTATAGTGTTTGATTCAAAAGACAGATGGTCCCAATATAGCTAAGGAAATATTACTACAATTATATATCAAAGGAGTTTATGCTTTGTTTTTGGTGCTATGGGCTGAACGCAGGGCTTCACAAAAGCTAAACGTATAGTCTGCTACTGAGCTACACCCCAAGCCCTATCAAGACTTTAATAGTAAAGAGAAATGGTTATAGTAAATATATATATATATATATTAATTATACTCTACTCAGCCTCCCACCTGCAGATGTTGTCAATGGCGATATCCCGGAGCTGCTCATACATGGAGGGCTGGCTCTTCTTGCCCGACATAACATTCAGGGTTGACTCAGAATGTTCATTGGTGACACTGATTTTTATATCATTGCCAGCAACTAAATGTAAAAGTTCAAATCTGTGTATGGTTCAGCTTTCACTTTCCATCTCCTTCTTTGTTGTCCAACAATCATTTAGTTTGTAAAAGCAAGCACTCTAAAAAAAATCTGACCAAACACTTCAAAAATAAGAGTCTGAGACCAACAGGAAAGATGAAAGGAACATGTTTAAGTGAGAAGGGAAAATACTTAGATTACAAATTGATCAACAGGTAAAAGCAGCAATTTCTTAATAAATCATTCAGAAATAACTGACAAGCACCCACATGAATGTAGCTCTGACAGTCTTAATCTTAGGAATGATCTATCATGCAAAAAGCAGGTAAAGATGGGAGCCCCCTCCACACTGTGGGCCCTGGGGAAAGTCTTTCAACTGCTCTGAGTTTGGGTTTCTTCATATGAACAGAGAAAGTAAAAATGCCCACCTTCACACCTTCATAGGATGAGTGGGACTACATGACTGCTTCTTGCACACAGAAGATTTTTAATCAGGATTATTGTTACATCACCATATCTTCTTTAAGCCTATGTCCTCTCACGGTGATGGGGACCAGATGAGGCTGTGCACATGAAACTAGTGGCCTACATATGGAGCATGCAGGACTTACACTTTGGACTACTACAATGAAAGAAAGATGCCAAAAAGAAAATGGTGAAGTACAGGATGAGCGATGCAGAGAAAGGAAAGACTTGGAACCCAAGGAACAGGGAACATGTAGGGAAAGACAGAAGGAATGGGAAGGAGGAGGAATGGGCCAAGTACAGTTATAGAACTTGCATGGGTTCACATTCACTAGTCCCTTTTTAGGGCTTCAAGGGCACACAGAGACTAAATGCTAGAAATAAGACCCTAGCTATAATCATCTACTACCTGTATGGTACTGACTGTGGTACTTATAGAGCTTCACCAGCACTGGGGATGGGATGACCAGGAAATCTCGCAAGGATGGCATCACAGAATGCACCACCATCGGGAACCTCTCACACAGGCGTCCCAAACCCTGCAAAACATATCAACCATTATGCAGCCTAGGAGGGTCCATATAGGAGGGTCCATCTAAGAGGGCCCAAACCTTGAGACGCTCAACGCTACAACTTCCAACTTTGAACAAAACTTCTAAGGTCAAAGCTTCTAGAGGCCACCTTCCCATGAGGCTTACAGGGCAGGGAAATGATATTAACTCTTCTCCAGCCAAGGTAAACAGTATTATTAAAGTATGATAATTTCTTTTGGAAACAAGGGAGAAAAGGTACAATATATGCTTTTTGGGGTTTTGTTTTTTTTGGTACTGGGGATCAAATGGGACCTTGCGCTTGCAAGGCAGGTGGCAGAACCACTGAGCTAAATCCCTGGCCCCAATATATGTTTTTTAAATAATGAGAGATGCAGAGGCAATAGAATTTGCATCAAGGAGTCTCAGCAGAGTAGAACTAAGCACTGTGGACAAAGATATCTTTCCATGAGGCCCTTTGGCACATGTTCATGACCATTTATCTGCTGGCCTTAGGCAGTGCCCAGCAGATTCGAAATAGCCTCATAACAAAGGAGGACTGAGGCCTTCTTCAAGGGGAGCTGATTCTGGACACCACTTAGAGAAATCCCTGGCACCCTGTAGGGGGCAGCCCATGCTCAGTGATGAATTGTGTCCACTGTAGTGAAGATTATAAGGGCAACTCAGACTACATGCTCCTTAGTCTCTGCTGTTGGCAAACTAACCACAGCCTGAACAACATAGTAAGAGGGACAACCTGTGGATGGGAATGAGTGTCTCAAGCATCAGTGGGACTGACCTGTAGGCAACAAATAAGCAAGGGCAAATGTGCAATGATGACTTTGCTGGATGTCTTAGACTGCAGTTTCTCAGATAACTTGATGCAAAGATTTTCGGCACCTTAGTTCAAAATCAGAGGAGGGTACAAATGATCAGCACAGTCCAGTATTTACAAAATATTTTCTTCCTGGTTAATCACATAATTCAATTAAACCCAAGAGCTATGCTTGTTGCAGGTTTATTAACACTGAGACACCACACCAGAAGTCTGGAGGCAAGCATCCTGCACTGTATGTTACTACTCCCTGCTGGCCATAAGGCCTCTTGTCCCAGGGTTCCACTCTGGAAGAACGCTTTCCATTCCACTCCTCCCCTGGAGACACCCACTATCCTCTAGCTCTGAGCCTAAAGAACCATCAGGAAGCAGCAGAGAACATACAGCTCTGTGAGTCCAGTGCCAGGTCCAGTGCCTTCCACTGTAAGATTGGATAGCACATGTTCTGAGTATGGCAGGAGCTGATGCTCATCTCTGCACGTGCCCAGGAAGTGGCTACTCCTAATGTGATTGCCCGTGCTACTAAGAGAGTCCAGCACTCTAGAAGTCTTTTTGGATAGGGATATGCCCTGGGACATGCCCAGAGTTCACAGAGGGAAAGCTATTTGGCTTTCTGCAGTACCAGAGGGGGAGCTCAGGCTCACCCTGCTCATCCTTCACAGCCCACACCATGAGGTCCACGCAGGCAGCATTCGCCTGGCAGCGCAGTTTGAGGGGACTCAGCTCATTGTGGATCCGATCTGCATCATGTAGAATTTTCTGGAGCTCCCCTTGGCTTGTGTTGAACTGCTCCAGCACAAAATCATGAATTTCTTTCACAAAAGAAGTAGGGAGGTCTGTGGCAAAGAGAGCAGGTACCAAATTTGGAAACAAAACTGTACCAGGGTCAGACAGTGGCTGTCAATGGGCATGGTCTTTCCCTCTTTAATAAAAAGAAGGGTAATTTTCAATGCTGATTACTATAGTTCCAAGAACACCTGCTAGGAAGAGTTTGAACAAGCTGTGGGCAATAATCCTCTACATGCATACTACCCAACAATCAGAGGAAATGATAATTTCTCAGGAAGGTCAACACTATGCTTTATTTTGTGTGAGTTTTTGTTGGTTGTTATATTGTTTTTGACGGTGCTAGGATTAAACCTAAGGCCTCGTGCATGCTAGGAAAGCATTCTACCACTGAGCTACAACCCCAGTCAGCCATGCTTTGTTTTAACCAATCAATATACTAAAACGTGAGTATATAAAACATGTAAAAGGGATGTATCATCACTGAAACTGGTTCAACTGACAATAGGAAATATTTTGTAATGTGAAAAAAGGGAAAAGTTGTCAGAAACAAGATCAGGGCAAAAACTGGTTGCAGCCTGAAGAAAAAAAATTGAGGATCTACAGAGTACCTACTCAAAGTCTGTAGACTTTTTAAACTCTCATCCTTGGATCCTGAAAAATTCAGGAGAACCAGTGTGACAGATACAACTCAGATCAGCCAAGGAAGCCCGCAAAACAGACCCCAGGTCAGAAGGGGGACTCAGGGGCTCCTGGAAGTCAGACTGGGCTGGGATACCACGATGCCCCTCCTGAGTGAACCCAAAACCTTTGTTTGGACACAACAGATTCAATTTACTGGCAGCTTCAAAATCAGACTGGGAACAGTTAACTAAATTGTGGTGCATCTACATGATAGAATCAAAACATGGTCATCAAAACATGTTTATGAAGAATATTTAATGATAAGAGGGAAGAGCATAGGACAAGTATTATAAGGACACACAAAAGAGTGCTGGGCATAGTGATGCATGCCTATAATCCCAGAACTTGGGAGGCTGAGGCAAAAGAGTCTCTGCAAGTTCGAGGCCAGCCTGGGGTACATGGTGAATTCAAGACCAGCCTGAACTACATAGTGAGACCTTGTCTCAAAAAACTATACACACACACACACACACACACACACACACACACAAACACAAAAGAGAGACTGGAAAAAATGCTAAATTTCTGTGTGTGCATGCACACCTATTAAAATACTATCTCTGAAGCCAGGCAAGGTGATACACACCTATAATCCATCTACTTGGAAAGTGAGGCAAGAAAATTACATTTTTGAGGTCAGCCTTAGCAACTTAGTAAGAACCTGTCTTAAATAAGGGCTGAGGACATAGCTTAGTGGTACAGCACACCTAGGTTTGATACCCAGTACCACAGAAACAAAAAAAACCCAGATATTATCTCTGAGTTAAAAGTTTATGTATGCTTCATTTTATTTCCTAAAATATCTAAATCAGACATGTAAAACTGAATGCACGAAACAGACAATATAACATATGCATGTCAGAAAAATAACTTAGGAAATAAACCCATCAAAGAAGAAATCACTAACGAGCTAAGGATTTAGCTCAGTGGCACTGTGCCTGCCTCGCAAGTGCAAGGTCCTGGGTTTGATCCCGGGTACTGGGGGGGGTGGGGGGTGGGGAATAATTGACAGTACTAGATCACAGGATCATGAACAGATTGTTTTTCTTAGTCCCCCCCCAACAACTTTCAATCATGTGACCATGTTGCTCACATGTGGAGTGTTTTGTTTCTGTTTTTGTTTTTTTGAGACAGGATCTCACTATGTTGCCCAGGCTAGTATTAAACTCTTAGATCCTCCCTCAGCCTCTCACAAGTAGCTGTGAGGACAGATATGTGCCAATGCACTCAGCAAGTACCAGCCTATAACTATGTCAGGTGTCCTCCTCCCATGCTCACACAGGCAGCTGCCAATATTCCTCACCTTTCATGTAATAAAGAGTGTCACGCAACATCTTGAACATGGTCAGGTAGAGGGGGTCACTGAAGGTTGTGTAGTAGAGATCAGCACTGGGGTTGGCCTGCAAAGGAGACAAGTACATGATCATGAAGCAGAAACTCTTAGGACTGCCAAGTAACTCGTATTCATGACTTAGCAATCTAAAAAGAATAACCATTTATCACGACTCATCACTCAGGCACTTTTAATTACTCTCTTTACCTCCTTAAGTATCAGGCCAAAGAAAACAGGAGCTTATGCACTGATGCCAGGAGAGAGCATTTGCATCCTCAACAAAGAGCAGCCCTTCTGTAGCAGAAAGCTTACCATCATCAGGACATGGGAAGTGGAAGAGGTGAAAGATAACAAAGGGGCCACTAGATTAAGGATTCAACCTTGACCACCACTCTGGAGGTGGACACTACAGCCAGGACATCCTCAGATTCACCTCATATTCTATTATTAAAACTCATTTTAAATTATTTTTCTTCAATATAATCTGAAATATAGCACTGGGGGAAATTTTCACACAACATCTAATGACTTAAGAGGTCTAATGACTTACAGACTCATAGAGTCTATAAACTGCCAGTTTAAAGAGGCTGGGGACTGGTGGGCAGGAAGGACTATTCTGTGTGAGGCTGGTGGAGAGTGAATCCCAGGGAAGGGGAAGGGTCACCTAAAGAACATGAGAATGATGTGGAGGGTGTGAAAGTCACATCAGCCTTCTGGTAGGTACTAATAATAAGAGCTCTCATTAAGTGTTATCAAAAGGTTCTACAAATATTGTCTTTTTTTTTTTTAAAGCAGTGGCAAAGTTTATTTGAGAAAGTAAAAGTGGGGCCAGGGATGTAGCTCAGTGGTGCTGTGCCTGCCTGGCAAGCGGAGGGTCCCGAGTTCAATCCCCGGCACCAAAAAAAAAAGTACAAGTGAAGAGTGAGGGACAAACTGTCTCTCCAGAACGAACTTGGGTTGAGTAAAAGATGTAAAAAAGCAAGACAAAAGAACACCCTAGAGAAAGCAGGGTGGGCTATCATGATGAAAGCCATGATAATCAAATAATGTCTTTATGAACATCAACTCACATACTTCTCACAATGGCCTGCAGGGCAAAGATGAAGAAAGGAGACTGGAAGAAGAGAGAGAAGCTCAGAGGTCTGACTCTGCAAGCTAACATAACACAAGTGTGCAGCCTGAGAGCTTTGGAGTCCCACATCCACATTAACTATGTTCATTAGTCAAGACCAACCCAGAGCAAACTGCACCCAGCACATACATTGATATATGCCCACAGCTTGCTGGCAGTAAGTGCAGAGCAGGAGGTGAAACAGACTATAGAAATGGTGACAAACCTATGGCATGTGTACCACAGTGGGGTGTTGGTATCACTGAAAGCTCACTGGTCTATAGCATGCAAAGGTCTCTAGGATTTCCCTCCCTGCTTCACACCTGAGCCCCAATGGTATCAAGCACTTCAGAATAAAGACATTTCAGAATAAGGACAGAAAACCCACACTAGTTTAAATAAGGAATCTGGGTCCAGCACATACCCATGGCAATAATCAACCTGACAAACAACAACCTCTCTGGATCTTCACGCTGAAAAGAGGACCTGACTCAAATGTTCCCTAAGATCGTAGGACCTGCTAGCACACACATGTAATGATTTCACAAGTACATAAAACTGTGAGCCTTGGTTCCAAATATGTTAAAAACAAAAGCTCCCCGTATATACCACTTCTACTTAAAAGCCAGGGCTTGTATGTGCCTAGAAGGTAGGTACAATTGTAAGCCTAGAGAAGCAGCTTTAGAAGCACTAAAAGAGCAAAGAAGACAAAAAAAAAAAGTCAGAAAAACCTGGCTGGACTCCCAGATCCCACAGTGTATGACATGGCCATGTTAGCCCCCATGAACCTCTCTACCTTCCAGCTATGGAAAGGAGACATGGACAACTGGTCAGAAATACTGTGAGGTATTTAAAAGACCCAGGTATCATGCAGGGGCTGTAAAGGTAGGTATATTATTACTACATAGGACTGTGATTAAGCTAAGCTGAAAATTCAGTCCTTTTAACTATATCCCCTACATGGACTTTTCCACTTTCTCCCTACAGATGTTTAAATCAGGCTGATTTAGTGGTAATGCCCTCAGAAGGGACATACCTCCATCACAGTGGCTATAACAGCATCCAAGGATTTGAGAACAGGCTCTTCAACGATCTTCTTCACCTGTCAGGGAGACAAAGCCTCATGAAGCAAGTGACATAATGAAAGAGACAGGAACTCTACCTCTTTCCATCAAAGGACGAATAATTTTTTTTTTTGGTACCAGGGATCGAACTCGGGACCTTGAGCTTGTGAGGCAAGTGGTAGAACCACTGAGCTAAATCCCCAGCCCCTAGGACAAATAATTTTGACAGATAAATCATAACAGGGCTACAAGTGTAGCTCAGTGGTAAGCAGGTGCTTAGCAAGCCCAAGGCTCTGTGTTCAATGCCCAGCAATTTTAAAAAGGGGGAGAAAAAAGTGACAGAAACAATAGCCCACAACATACATATCCTTAAACCACATTAAATGCACAAAATGTCCTAACTCTTGCCGGGGATTTAGCTCAGTGGTTCCACTGCCTGCCGCCTCACAAGCTCAAGGTCCCAATCGATCCCCCCTACCAAAAAAAACCCCACCCAACTCCTGGTATCACTTTTCTTCCCTAGACAGGACATTAAAAAAAACAAAGCAAAGAAACCAATGCCCTCAAATTTTCTTTTCTTGGTTTTTTGGGGTTTTAGGGTTTTTTTGGTACTGGGGATTGAACTCAGGACCTTGCACTTGCGAGGGATGCGCAGGAACCACTGAGCTAAGTCCCCAGCCTACTCTCAAATTTTCTGACATTACGTTTCCATCTCCAGGATTTGGAAGTGTTCAGATTTTAGGCATTGCTGACATTTTACCCACTCAAAGCTAACATGTACAACTCTCAGTTACCCCCCACCCCAACATCCAGGATATCCTCAAAGCCAATCTTCAGGTACTAATCTAACAATTCCTCCCTCCTCACTAGGGTCCCATGCACCAGCTCCTCCAAAGCTGCTAGATACTCAAACTGGAACACACATTACAGTTCGGGGGGTAGTGCTGGGGCTCAAACCTATGGGCTCAGACATGCTAAGCAAGTGCTCTACCGCTGAGGTATACTATATTTGCAGCCCTAAAACCTATGCACCTACTTACATTTTTTTTTTTTTTAGAAGATGCAAACTATAAAGTCTTACTGTCTAGCCTAGAACGGACTTGAACTCCCAAGTCACTGAGACTACAGGTATATGCCACCAGGCCCAGATAAGTTTCTAACAGAAGCCATTTCCTTTTACCTGTTCTCTGCACAGCATTTAGTATAAGGATGAACTCTTTAATCAACTACAGAACTACTTAATAAATGCACTATCCTTGCAACTGTAGTACTTGACAAAGGTCATTTCCAAAATGTGTGGATAACACACCAGAAGAAGAAATGAAAATTATCTCCAAGAAAAATCTAAACTTAAAAGTTAAAGTATCAAGTTCGATCCCCAGTAGCGACCCCCCAGAAAAGTTAAGGTATCATGGGCCGGGAATGTAGCTCAGTGGTTCTGCTGCCTGCTTTACAAGTGCAAGGTCCAGAGTTTGATCCCTGGTACACGACCCCCCCCAAAAGTTAAGGTATCTTCGAAAAAATAATTTCTCCAACAAAGAATCTGAAACACCAGTCTTCAATCAGGATTTCTGACATGGTACTAGGAAGATCCAGCTACAACTACTAATCTATCTGGAACATCAACACTGAGAAGGTTAGAGAAAGTCTTCCTTCTTGACAGCAACTTCAGAAACATCTTAGGCCATTTGATAATTAATTATGGCACCATCCTCATTATCTTCAGGGTGTTTTTTGTTTTGTGATATTATCAAGTGCTAGGCAAGCATTCTACCACTGAGCTATACCTCCACTTAATCTCCTAGGTTTTAATGTCTTCTTACATCTTCGACCTAATAAATCATTCTCTGAATGATTTCTGTTCACCTTCACAAAGCATAAAAAGGCTGATCTCTCCAACACATGTTCCATATTTCAGTGTTGTTTTTCCTTCTCATTTCCAAGACAGAATATCCAATCATTAGAATCTGTCCATATGATGTTGTCACTCACCATCAAGCCTATCTGGAACCATCCAGCTCTATCATAACAACTTCAAAGCTGCTGGATCTGACCATAGATGTGACCATTTCAAGACTCAGAAACACAGTGCCAATGCCTTCTCTGTTGTCACCTCAAAAGTCATCCAAAGGTCCCAAAATATGAAAAACTTAGATTTTGTATTAATCCAATAGAGCAACCCCTGAGAAAGAATCAAGTATAATGGAAAAGCACTGGACTTAGTGGAATCAGAATCCTTGGACTGAGCCAGGCACTAGCTGCCCTTGCTCTGAATATTCTTCATGACCTTGACAATTTCCTCACCCTACCCCACCCCATTTGCTTTGTGTTGCTGAAGATTGAGCCCAGGGCCTTTGCAGTGAGCTATATCCCTAAGCCCCCACGCCCTTTTTTTTGAGAGTAGATCTCACTGTGTCACTAAATTGCAGCCTCAGTCTCCCAGAGTACAGAGATTACAAGAGATTACCACACCTAGCTATTTGTTTTCAAATGGGGATTCTGGATACCTCCCCAACATGCTTGCTGCAGGGATTAAATGAAAAGATACTGCACAATGACTCTATGAATGTTATTCTTCCTTCTTTACAAATTCTAGACTTCTAAATTGTGTTTGGCATGTACTAATAAAAATCAAAAATTTTTAAGTAAATAAATATTTGGAAATACTGGTACAATTTAAGCATCTTTATTTAGAAAATCCACAAAGTTCCAAAACACAAAAATTTTTTTTAGTGCTAACATGTTGCCCTACAAGTAGAAAATTCTACACCTGGGGCCGGGGATTTTGCTTGGTGGTTCCGCCACCTACCTCGTAAGCACAAGGTCCCCAGTTCGATCCCCAGTACCAAAAAAAAAAAGAAAGAAAAAGAAAATTCTACATCTGACTTCATGTGATGGGTTGCACAAAATTATTAAAATTATTGTATAAGCCAGGCCTGGTGGCATACACCTGTAATCCTTTCTTTTTTTTTTTTTAAAGGGGGGGAGTCAAGTTCTTTACTTGTCTTTGTATTACATGAAAACAGAAAATATGGGGGAGGAAAGGAAAACAAGAAGAGAATAACCCAGCTGTTTAGTTTTTCTAAGTCAGAATGAGGGCAGGTGGCTCTAGACATGGATCTGAGTCCCCACAGCAACACAATGACTGTAAGTGAGCAGGAAGCAGTTACTCCAAAGGCTAAGTAAAACAGGATTGCCTGAGCTCAGGAGTGTGGAACAAGGTGGGCAATGGAGCAAGACCTCATCTCAAAAAAAAGATATAAAATTACCTTCAGACTATGTGTATGAGGTATATATGAAACACAAATGAATCTAATGTTTAGACTTGGATCCATCACTAAGATGTCTCATGATGTGCAAGTACAATTTGAAAATCCAAAAAAATTCCAAAATCTGAAATCCTTTTGGTCCCAAGCACTTCAAATGACAAATAATCAAACTGTATTCCAAGTTTTTCTATTAAAAAACACAGGTTTCCACTGCTGGTAGTTTCACTGACTGATATTCCCATAGTCTGTTTATCCATCAATGTTCTGCTTACCAAGTTTAAGAGTTCCCGAAGCATTTCTAGTGGAATATTAAACTCCTTATAGGTGATGCCATTGAACAGAGGAGAGACAGAGAAGCTGGAGCTGACAGTAGAGAAGTAGTACTCAGGCTCCAGGGCAGTTCCATCAGGCAGACAAGAGGCTAGCAGGAGAAGAGAGAAAAAACTGGAAAATTAGACAAGGGCACACACAACTGGTCCATTTCCTCACATTGAGTCTCCCCAAAAAACCAACAAAGGCATAGATTTTGCTTTTATTTATATTCCAGTTCCTTGCATGCTTATTTACTTACTTACTTATTTTTGTGGTACTGAGGATCAAATCCAGGTGCATTCTACCACACAGCTACACCCCTAGCCCTTTTATATTTTTATTTTTAGGTAAAGTCTCACTAAGTCAGCATCCTCCCTCAGCATCTTGAGTAGCTGGGATTACAGGCATGTAGCACCACACCTAGCTACCTGTTTGCTTTTAAATTACAAAGTAAAGGTTGGATGGCAAATCCTAGGGGAGTGACATCTCTCAGATAAGTGGCTCAAGAGCAAAGGCTCAAATATTACTGTTTCCTAATATTTTGAACACAGACAGCATAACTTAACATGAGAGAAGGGAGGAAGAAAAAGAATTACATTTTTTAAAGGCTAAGAGATGTGAAAGTTTGAAGTCTACTAGGGCTCAAAAATGTTTTACTACCAAAATACAACAAAATACACACTACTAGAGGTTTCAAAATCAGAACAATTAAACACAGTAATCAAAAAAAAAAAACACAGTAAGTCAATCACAATAAAGAGATAAATCCTGCATGAACTCAATTCTACAAAGTACTTAAAGTACTTAAAATCATAGAGATAAATTAGGCCTAGTGGTGCATGCCTGTAATCCCAGCACTCTGGGAAGCTAAGACAGGAAGATCAAAGTTTGAGCCCAGCCTGGGCAATTTAGCAATTTAGTGAGACCGTGTCTCAAAATTTAAAAATTTTGAAAGAACTGGGAATGTAGCTCAGTGTGAAGGGCTTGGGATTAATCCCCATTACCACAAAAGAAGAAAAAAAAATCACAGAGATAGTAGGATGGTGGTTGCCAGGGGCTGGAGGAAGGAGAAAATGAGGCATTACTGTTTAACCAGTATATAGTTTCAGTTTTATATGATGAAAGAAGTTCTAGAAATAGATGGTGGTAGAATATTATGAATATATTTAATTACCACTGAATTGTACACTTAAAAATGGTTAAGATAGTAATTTTATGTTATGTGTATTTTGACACAATAAAAAAATCAGAGCAAAAAGTCAAAATGATTCAATCATCTGATGCTTATTAATAAAAGCAAAGGTAAATAACTGTTTGAAAATCCATTATTAAGAGTCCATGCTCTACCAACTGAGCTAGCTGGGTGGCTGTTGGAAATCCATTATTAAAACCTTTTAACTTAAGGAGTTGGGGATTTAGCTCAATGGTAGAGTGCTTGCCTAGCAAGCACAAGGCCATAGGTTTGGTTCTCAACACTAAAAAATTAAAAATAAATAAATAAATTAATTAAAAGTTTTAAAAGGCAAAAAAAAAAAGACAAAACATTTTAACATAAAAACTATCACTAGAAAATAAAAGCTTTTGTATATAAGGAGGGGAAGAGGGACTGAAGGGTGGAGGGGGGATGGGGAAAAAAAAGAAGCAAGATGTATCATGTACTGGTACAAATTCCATAAGATGAATGTTACCAATAAATGTTTTGCTTAAAAATAAACTTTCCCCCAGCTTAAAAAAAAGAAAATAAATAAATGTAATATGTTCATATTAAAAAGTGACATAAGGTAGGGGAAAGGAAAGAAGGGAATGGAATTAATATGAGAAAATGAAAAAATTGAAACAAAGTCTTTGTAAATAAGGAAGGATGGAAGGGGTTGAAGGGAGGGCAGGGGAAGGGGGAAAAAATAAGAACCAAGAGAGATTATGTAAAAGTGCAACTGTCCAATGATGAATGTCATTATACTGTATACCTAAAATGTACCAATAAAATATGAAAATGCTAAAAAAAAGTGACAAAATATTAACCTATAAAAACCCAATAAACTGCGTAACTTTCTCAAGTACCATATTAGAGAACAAAAAAAAAACCGAAAATGTATCAGAGCAGGGTATATATATATATATATATATATATATATATATAGTGTTACAACACTGGTCACGTACTGCTGATCCAAAGATAGATACAAACCAGCAGTTGATAACAGAAGTGGATGAGCAAATGGTACCTCAAAAGGTTGAGACGCTGGAGGACCAATATAAGAACTGATAGAACCAATGAGCAAAGAAGAGAAGGTGAGAACAGTGGTTTAAAAGAAGCAAACAGGGAATAAGCGAAGGAGATTGTGAAACAGACATCAGGAGATGAAGTTAAGTATTGTGTGGCTCAGCCAGTATGCACCAGGCACTAATGGAGGCAAAAAACAGGAAATGCCAGAACCAACAACCTAAGATTTGGGACGTAGGGTTACCACTGCAAGTTTTTAAGCCATTACGTTAAGCCGTAAATTATCACATTTGTGCTTTTAAAAATTAATTCTTAAAAAAATTTATACAGTGCTGTGGAAGAGAGCCTGGAAAGGGACAGATCAACTGTAAGAAAAGTCCAAGATCTACCTATTATAAATTGTGCTACTACAGAGTCTAGGGTACAATGACTGGAGACAATGTTAGTTATAGAGCTGGGGTTCCAAATCAGCTACACCAGAAAATTCTAAGAGCTCTGATTTGAAACAGAAAGGAATGTTGCCTGGAGAGCATAGGCAGCCCAAAGAAAAGAACAATGGTTTACATCCACTGAAGAATCCAGTGAGTACAGTGTGAGATATGTAAGTGCTAACGATCACAAAACTATCTTGTGCAGGGCCAGGGATTTAGCTCAGTGGTTCCGCCACCTGCCTCACAAGTGCAAGGTCTCAAGTTCAATCCCTGGTACCAAAAAAAAAAAAACCAAAAAAACCCCACAACTGTCTTGTGCAGTATATTGTAGGACAACCTTTGTGCAATGAATCAGGAGCCCTCCATGGATGAACGAGATGGAGGAATCCCTTCCTGTGCCATCACCACGCACTGTCAGCAGTGGTCAGAACCAGTGCCTTCAACACCAGCAAGACAATCTCTGCAATGTGTGTTGTTAAAAAATGTGCAACTAAGTGAAAACCACTTATTTTATTTTAATTTTATTTTTGGTACCGGGGATCAAACTTGGGACCTTGTGCTTGCAAGACAGGTGGCGGAACCACTGAGCTAAATCCCCAGCCTGAAAAACACTTATTTTAAACTTACTAGACTAGACTAGATCAGTTATGGTGAACCTTTTAGAACTTTCAGTGACAACAAACAGCTAGCTGAGGTATGCATGCCATAGATTCGCCACCACTGTCTAGATGCATGTGGTCTGTGTGTATTATTGTTTGCAATAATAGGAATCCACTCTATTGAAGATCTTTGACTTCCAGAACCTATAGCAGATGTGAGAACTGCAATGCAAATCAAAGCACATCTAAACAATAAGGTACAAAACCACACCCATGGGCCAATGATTGATGGACAAAGGCCTGATTCAGTGAGGTATCAGGAGGGGCAGCATGTGGGGTATTCTGAGACCACTCAAGGAGAGGCAGCAGTGGGTAGTGCTGTGGCCACCAACTCCGTCCCTGGGTAGGAAAAGGCAAGACTCAGGCAGGCAAGATCTGTGGTATAGAGTTGGTAGATGTTGGTCTGTCTGTGAGGTGTGGATGGGGCTGGGTGAAGGGAGGGGGAGACAGGTTCCCCTGGCCCTGGGGATACCTGATGACCCCAAGTCAGAGTGAGGTGGTGAATGGGGTTGGGGCATAGTCAGCAGATGCTGTAGGATAATCTGGTTCACCATGTGGAGCTTCCAGAAGAACATGTGCTTAGGATCTTGAACAGATTTAAGACTCAGCACTGTTATTAGAAATACAACCCTAGCTTGCCTCACTGTAGAACAGTGTTGACCATGGTTGAACAGCCTGTCTCATCTCCCATCTACCACTGACACTGGGTACTGGGCAAGCATCTTCCCTGGGAAAGGGCTAGGGGTGAATGTGGAAGCCATCATGGTAAAGATCAATGTGGGCAGCGTCAGTTGGCCAGGAGAGCGGCCCTGCAGTCCCCAAGTGAGCACAGCTCTGTCTATGCAGAGAGAACCAGGTGCCACCAAGACCAATGGGCAGTACCAATGGCACAGAGACACAAGTGCCATGATACTTCCTGCCTCGATGCTTGAGAAAGATTAGCCCCATCAATCTCTCCGGTCAGGGCTGCAAGAACTGCATCTACTTATGAGGAAACATCAGAGAAACTCAGTGTGAGGAATCTTTTAGAAATAAGTGCCCTCTGTTCTTAAGAAATGTCCATGTCATGGCAAACAAAGGACACTTGGAGGACTGTGCTAGATGTGAGCACCCTAAACAGATGATGCAAGCAAAGCAATGTGTGGCCTGGGTTCTGTCTGAGGAGGCGCTGGTGAGGGTGTCACAGGGCAATTCAGAAGCTGGAAATGGACTGTGAAGTTCATGTAAAGTCCTGAATTTATAAATTGTGCTGCTACAGACATGGGCATGCATGAATCCCTGTAATAAGATGATTTTAACTCTTTTGGGAACATACCTAGAAGGGGGGTAGCTGGGTCAAATGGAATTTCTATTTTTAATTTTTTGAGGAGTCTCTATACTGATTTGTGGAGACCGCCTTATTGATTATGCCCAAAGCAGGGTGTAAGCAATGCACGCTGTAAAGGGTTAACCCTGCTGGGCCGGGGATTTAGCTCAGTGGTTTCGCGCCACACGGACCCGAGTTCAATCCCCGGTACCAAAAAAAAAAAAAAAAAGAGTTAACCCTGCAATTGGTTTACTTTAAGCAGCAAGTCTGACTGAAGCTTACATGACTCATAAAGCACCTCATAAGCACTGAGGTACCACATAGGTTAGCATGACCTTCTCAGTAATGGCCACAGCAGAGATCAGAGAAATGGCCTGTGAAGCTGTGGGGCTAAATATAAGATAACATAGTAGCCAAGGTCAGCGTAACTCACACTCAAATTCCATTCCCACGATTAAAACTTTCTTAACTAGAAGGACAAGGTTCTAATTACAACCCCATATTTTGTCTATTCTGTTTCTAATTTGAGAATGCTTTGTCTTTTCCTTTATAAGCCTTGCCTGCATTAGTATCCATAGCAACTGCACAAGTGCACATAGTAACCCTTTACCCCAATCTAATTACCAATAAAAATCAGTGGCTTGGACTGAGCAGGGCCTTTGCTGGTTGAGCAGCATTGGCCGTCCTGGCTCCCTACTTTTTTCTTTAATTCTGTCTTTGAGTCTTTCTTAAACCCTACATTGTACACTGGGCAGGAAACTGGAACCTACTGCAGAGGTCTCTGGTACTAATTTCCATAGGGTTTATGCCACCAACCGTGTATAAAAGTTCCTTTTTCCCCACATCCTCACCAGCATTTGTTATTATTAGATTTTTTTTTATGATAGCCAATCTTTCTGGGGTAAAATAGTATCTCAGTGTAATTTTAATGTGAATGTCTCCACCAGGCCAGTGATGATTAGCATTTTTTCATGTATTTATTGGCATTTGTACTTCTTCTGAGAAGTGTCTATTCATTTTGGTTGCCCATTTTTTGATTGGCTCTTTTATTTGAGGGGAGTTTCAGTGTGTATGTCCATCAACAGATGAAAAGACAAGGAAAATGTAGTATTTATACACAATGGAGTACTACACTGAGATAAACTTGAGGCATTCACAGGTGGTAATTGGATGCAACTTGAAAACATAATACTAAGTGAAATAAGTCAGATACACAAGCCCAAATATTACATGGTTTCTCTTATATGAGAAACACTATATATAGATATATGCTTACATATAGTGTACACAAACACACAAGAGCAAAACAGAAGAGAGATAAATAGGAAGTAGGGAAAAGTTCCTATACTTTCCCAAATTACATATTCCATTGTTTTAAAAGTATTTTAATATATATGACAACTTGTTTCATTTATACTATTAATTTATCTTGAAAAGAAAGTTTTGTGTTATTATCTGTTTCTTGGTTTGTTTGGTTTTTTTTGGTACCGGGGATCGAACGTGGGTCCTTGCACTTGTGCAGCAGACAGTGAAACCACTGAGCTAAATCCCCAGCCCATCTGTTTGTTTCATTTTTGTAAGAATTTTTTGGTTTATAAAAGTAGAAACAAGGGCCGGGGATTTAGCTCAGTGGTGCCGCCACCTGCCTCAAGAGCACAAGGTTCTGAGTTCAATCCCCAGTACCAAAACAAAATAAAAAAGTGGAAACAAGGACTGAAATGTATATGGGAAGAAAGTATTCAAATGGGAAGGGGAACAAGGGAGGTGGGAGGGAGAAAGGAAGGAAGGGATAAGAAAAAAAGTGAAAAATAGAAAAATAGGAAACAAAGCTTCTGTACCATAGGGGAGGGGAACGAAGGGGGCTTGAGGGGGGAATGGGATAAAATAAAATTTAATTTTTTAAAAAAGAATTTTTTGGTTGGTGTGTTATACCCTGAGTAACTACTTTAAAGATAATAAGTGTTTTAACTATTGTAACTCTCTTATTATTTTGTTATGAAATTGTTTTATTTTTTCATAAAATAAAAAGAAAAAAATCCATAATCCTGCCAAGTTTGCAGATCAAAGAGGAGCATCTGCTCAAGGAGGGAGAGGATGAAGATGAGCAGGAAGCACAAAAGAAGGAACCTGTGGACACTTCGCCCAGTGGTGGCCTCAACAACAGGCTGGCCAATGGGCCGGGAAGCAGATGAGGACAACTTCAATAGATACCCACTCCCAGGGTGTGCCAACACCTCTGTGGCCTGGGAACTGAGGGCCTTTGTGAACAGCCAGTTTGTGCTCACGCTGAAAAATTCAAGCACCTCTTCAACCAGCACGTGGCCAGCCTGCCCCACAGCCATATGTTCTTCAGTGGTACCTCGGACCACATCCTACAGGACATTGTGCTGGCCGCTGGCTGCAAGCAAATACTAGTGCCTTTTCCCCAACAGACTTCTGCTTCCCCTAACTAGCAGAAGGTTTTTGCCTTCTGAGAGTCTGGAGACATGAGCATCATCATTGAAGGTTTTGTTTGAAGTTTTTCCCAAAAATTACTAAGTATGCCAGAACATGATCCAGTTTCATTTGACTCAAGAGTGTGGAGAGATCTATCTAAAAAGAGGTGGACAGGGCTAGGGATTTAGCTCAGTGGTTCCGCCGCCTGCCTCGCAAGCGCAAGGACCCGAATTTGATCCCCAGTACCAAAAAAAATAAAATAAATAAATAAATAATAAAAAGAGGTGGATAAAGTGCTAAAGGACTGTTGTGTAAGCAATAGTGGCATGTGGTATCTTAAAGGAATGGTACAGTCTGGACAATAGTAGCAAACCACTAACCCAGCGAACCCAAACCCAAGGAAAGGATACCATAGCCAAAAGCCTGAGTCTTGACTTGCTTGAGAAGACACAGAGCTAGAGGAACTGCACAGTTCAGGGTCTGTGGCACTGCATGGTCTAGTGGACAAAAGGGGATCCTACACAGCCGGTGGCAATGTCAGCTTATGTGAGATCACTTCCAGAGAGACCAGCAGGGCCTTCTTTGCAGTACAATTTGAAATTCCTGGTGTGTTTTGCTTATCAACTGGTTTCATTCTCATAATAAAGAGTGTATACTGATATGGGAAGGATGATGAAAAAAGAAAAGTCCAAATGAAATAGGAGGTATATGAGCAAGCATGGAAAGGAGTAAGACGTACTGCTGTCTCCTGTATGAGGTATACTTCAGAGAGCAGGTACATCTTCCTTCTGTTCACCAGCTCACTGGCACAGAGTGGGTGGTGGGTCTACTGAACGGACATACGGGGCTCATGCAGCCAATAGTACCTGGGTGTGTCCCCATCCTGTTACTTAATGGATGTGTTTAAAGGACATGGCCGGGGGGTGGGGGGGTGGTCCTTGACACTGAAGATGGATGAAGAGCTGTTTACTAGGAAGAGAATCCTTTAAGGGTTCCTCACAGCAATCCTCTGATGCCCCAGGGACAGCCACATGGAAAAGGGGTTTGGGACTGGAGGATATATTCTACTGTTGGGCAAGTGGTTCTCTTTGAGAAGTGGAATTTTGAGGTAGGTAAACTAGCCTTTAGTTTCAATATATGAGATATACACAGCACGTAATGTGTTACAACTCTCATATAATCAAGACATTCAGACATTCGGCATACAAGCTGCCTGCATTTATTTGAATTCAGATACTATCTTCCCTTTTTTTTAATTCCTCTCACATCTCTCAATATTGTCTTGAGACATGCTCTTTTAGCAATTAGCAAGCCACCTGTAATCCCAGCACTCTGGAGGCTGAGGCAGGAGGATTGATGTGAGTTTGAGGACAGCCTGAACTACAAGAGTGAGTTCAAGGCCAGTCTGAACTACATAGTGAGACCCTGTCTCAAAAAAAACCCACAAATCAAAACAACTAGCAATTAGCATCACTTAAAAATGAAAAAGACTAAATTATAAGGAGGCATGAAATTCTGGTTTCCCCATTTCCTGTCACTTAATCCGGGTTTCACTTCCTTCAAGGATATGGTACAGGTAAGTTTAACATGTGTCTTATGGGAAACAGTATTAACATAAATCAAACTCAGTAATTACATAAAAGTGCTTTGTGAGTAGCAGAGCTCCATAAAAAGTATTATTGAGCTGGGGATTTAGCTCAGTGACACCCTACCTGCCTTGCAAGCACAAGGTCCTGAATTCAATCCCCGGTACCAAAAAAAAAAAAAAGTATTATTATATACATTTATCTAAATTCTTAATGGCCTTAATAAAAAAACAAAAGTAGTACCCACCTTCTGCTTGAAAACCAGTGTTTTTATAAGTTAATATACAAAAATTCTGATGGTAGGCATTTAGGGCCTAAAATTTATTTTGTCCTTTTCTCCTCATACAAAATATTTGAAAACTAAATTTGAAGAAACTTAGATGAAAAGAGAAAATAAATGCTTTCTAAAAGATTGTCACTGTAGATCCAAGACAACAGAGAATACAAGAAGAATACAACAGAGAATCATAAGAAGTCACTGTGAAGCTCCTATCCAAGTACTAAATCAGTATTTTGGCAGAGAGGTATGCCCACCTTCAAAGTAGTGAAAGGCAGATCCTCCAGGAGAGCTGGGAGGGGGCATGACACGTTCTGGGCTGACCTGAAACACACAGATCAGAAAAGGCCAGTGAGACCAACCTCAGTCAGATTAGCCTTACACCAGATTCTCTTCACAGCTCACTCTGTACTTGAAGTCCTGGTTCAAGCCTCACCCTCTGAAGCCTGCTGCAGTTACAGCATTCTCTGCTACATATTCTATCACTAGTCTTTTTATTTAGCTGTGTATTTCATACTCCATTACTAAGCTGAGTCATTCTTAGTGCTTGTGGTTTCATCTTTTTTCCTTGAGTCAATTATATACTTTTGTTTTATTTGCTTGTTTTTTTGCATTAGAGGGAATCAAATCCAGGGGCTTGTGCATGCTAGTAGGCAAGCACTCTACCACTGAGCTATACCCACAAACCAGAGTTATATACTTCTTAAATGCACCAATTATTTCTCACTCAGAATCGAGCACCCAACTGCTATGAAACAAGTACTTCATGACTATGAAATCTCCTATGCGTTTTAAAAAGGACAAGGCAAGTCTTTGTACTAAAGAGAACGCTAGTGAGAATCTTATGTTTCTTAAATTTCCTCCAAGGACATATAAATAGTATTTTTTTCACTTGAGCACGTTATGAAATCCTTTTCCCCTGCTTTTCTTCCAAGAGCTCAACCTCACCTGAGAGATACTGGACACACTGCTGGTTTTCCTCTTCAGGGTCCCCTCCTGACAGACAGTCAGAAGATTGCTCGGAAGGATTGAGCGGAAGTCATTGAAGGACCGCCTTCTGACGCCTTCCAACTCTTCTGGGATCCGCAAGGAATGAGGAGGGACTTTGGGAAAGAGCTTGGAGAGGAGAGACTCTTCAGTATTGCTGTAACGCCCAAAGGCTCTCGAGATTCCTATCAGGCAGGGGATCGAATACTTGCAAAGGTATTCTAGAAGAGTACATGAGAATGTTACAACATGAGATAGTTACTTGTGAGAAAGACATACTGTGCTAACTTATGACACTGGCTGATATTTCACAACCCACCCACCAACAAATGTAAAGACAATAATGTGTGGGTTGACCTGCAATAAGAGTACCAACAACAAGTGCTGTTATTAACAATAACTTCAGACAATGTCTCCATCACAGCTACTTTCCTTGGAAGGTCTTGATCTAGTCATGACCACCCAAAGTAATAACATAGTTATCAGGTGCTTTGACTCACTTAAACAATATACTTACACTTCCTAGGATCATATTGGCAGACTTACTTACACTATGGGAAAAAATTATCTTTGGAAATCAACTAAAGTACCCACAAATGTTTATAGGTGAAGAAACTGAGTCTCAGAAGGGAAAGTTACTCATCCAAGGCCATCAGGCATTTGTGTGCAGAACTGTGCTCATGACCCCGGATGGCTTCTCAATACACTAACATATAACAAATATAACCTAATATAGAAAGGTTTTCATCTATCAGATGCATGTAAGTACCAAAGAACAGAAAAGAATAAAGTCTAGGAAAAAAACAACAGAAATAGTAATCCCTGGGAAGAATAGGAAAGGGAAGGAAAGGGAAAAAAAGAAAACAAAAGAAAGAAAAATAAAAAGAGGCTTAAAGATCTATAATCATACCTTTTTCCTGAATCTCCAAGGCCTGGCACATTCCCAAAAGGACATGCAAAACCTGCAGAAGTGCCTCTAAAATCTGTAACAATCAAGGAAATAAAATTATAAACAAAGCTAGATAAATATCACAAAAAATAAAATCAAAATTCAAAAGAGCTTTAGACATTTTCTTGACCAACCCCACAAATTTCTTCTCTACAACAGTGACATCAAGGGCCAATCAGCTGACCTTCAGGGACAGAAGCCCTTTCCCTCTGGGCTGGTAGATTTCCTCCTTATGCTGGGTCAGGGTGGTCTTCTTGGGGCCTTTACTCAGTGGCCCTTGGGGCCATTTCTCCCTCCATATTTCATAAATAGGTGATAGTCCCCCTAAATCCTCCCTTTTTATGGCTAAATATTAATTCTTTTCAACTTTATTCTTTATTATCACAAGTTATTTACAATGCTGACTGCCTCTGATTCTACTGTAGTCCAGTTTGTCTACTTCTGGTTGGAAATGTAATGCTACAGTAAAATACATTTTAATATTAGAAGGATCCAGGAACTCATCAAGAGTAACTGGCAGCTGAGCACAGTGGCACACATCTGTAATCCTAGATACTCAGGAGGCTGATGCAAGAAAAACACAAGTTAAGGCCACTGTAGGCAACTGAACAATACCTTGTCTTAAAATTTTTAAAAAGGGCTAGGGGTATAGCTCAATAGAGCACTTGCCTAGCATGTCCAAGACCCCAGGCTCAATCTCCAGAACCACAAAAAAAGGGAAAAGAATAAGAGAGAATATAATCAGATTTATTATAAATTCTAGATATTTATGTATGTCTCATTAGCTTTTCAGTAACCACTTGTACTCACTTCATACTATTAGCTCAAAGAGCATAGAGTAAATAAACTTTTAAATCCTTTTCATAGGAAGGAAGGGACAAGAAAAAAGAGAAAATAGAAGGAAAAAATGGAAGCAAAGCTTCTGTATATAAGGAGGGGAGGGGATTTGAGGGAGGAAATGGGATAAAACAAAGTTTATTTTTAAAAAATCCTTTTCATATATGCTACTCTTAAATTATGAAACCTCTGTTTATGCAGCTGGGTTTTTGGATTGGTTTTTTGTTTTTTGTTTTGTTTTGTTTTGTCTTGATTTTCGTGGTTTTGCTCTGGATTTTTGTGGCAGTACTAGAGACTGCATCCAGGGGCCTGAACGCTAGGTAAGCACTCACTGAGTACATACCAGCACTTTTTGGTTTTTCTTTTTCTGTGAGACAGGCTGGTCTTGAACTTTCATTCCTGCCTCAGCTTCCTGAGTAGCTGTGATTACAAACACACACCACTATGCCTAGCTGCAGCTGATAGCATTTAGCTTTGCATTTATCCTATAAAAGTTTACAGTACTGTAGTAATCCCAGCAACTTTGCAGGGTGAGGTAAGAGGATCACAAGTTCAAAGCCAGCTTGGGCAATTTAGCAAGACTCTGTCTCAAAATAAAAAATAAGCCAGCCATGGTGGCACAAACCTACAATCTCAGAATTCTGGGTGGCCAAAGGAGGTTCATAAATTCAATCCCAGCCTGGGCAATTAATTGACTCAACAAGATCCTGTCACAAAATAAAAAAATTTTTAGAAAAGCTGGGCATGCTGCTTAGTGCAAAGACCCTGGGTTCCAACTCCAGTGCCCCAAAATTAATTAATTAATTAATTAATGGCTGGGGATGTAACCCAGTGCTAGAGCACTTGCCTAGCATATGTGAGGCCCTATGTTCAATCTCCAGTATCACAAAAAAAAAAAGTTCTGCTATTAGCTTTAGCTCATTCAACTGGTCTTCAATTCCCAGCTTTATGTCTTAAATGAGATCAACTTGTTTTATAGATCTTCAATGGAAGCACTGACCCATTTTGCTCACATAGTTCAAGGCAAGCCATCAGGAGCTCCTACCAGAGCCGGGGATTTAGCTCAGTGGTTCCACCGCCTTCCTCGAAAGCACAAGGACCCAAGTTTG